TCTGTCTCATACCCCTTCCTCGGCGTCCTTCTCTATAGTGACCTCTCATCAACCCGGATTGCTGCAGGTCCCCCTGTGCTGGCAGCCTCAGTGAGGCGGACGATGGCCTCCCAGGGCCAGGAGCCACGTCCGGTCTGAGAGAGGCTAGGGCGTGGACTTGGAAGCCAGTTTCCCCTTCTGTGAGATGAGGGTAATAACCGGGTCTGTCCTGTAGGGTCGTCGAGTGGACTAAGTGACTTAGACACGCCTGTGTGAAGCTTGGCTCTTGGGATATATGAGGGAGGTCTTCAACAAGTTCATGGGGGACCAGCAGTTAGCGTAATGGCTTTGTCGCTGGACTCCCACGTAGTTGACCGCGGTTTGTGTCCTGGACCTGGTGGCTTAAAACTCATGCCGGGTGCGTGTGCGTGCATGCCCAAGATCCCGAGTGGAGAATGGAGGAGAAGGGACTGCGGCGTGGCCATTCCCCCTGGGGGGTGATTTCTCGCTTTCTGTCTGTCTCTCTCTCTCTGTCTGGCGAGCGCACGCGCCCTATAGCAAAAACCTCCCCCTCCCCCCAAAAAAAAGAACAAGTTCATGGAAAATGGTACGTTATGAAAAACCGTGCACGGATTCCATTTTTTTTTTTTTTTGCACCAAACTAAACTTGTACTTTAATCTTATTTTCCCACCAGCTTTTCAGTTTCTGTTACAGGGTGTGTGCACTCACCTTAGAGAAAGTGAGAAGCCCCTTCTAGGGGGATGGCCGAACCTCAGTCCCTTCTCCTCCATCGTCCTCTCAGGGTCTTGGGCACGCACACGTGATTTCAGGCATGCGCAGCTGGCCCTGTGGGACCAGCACTGTGATCTCCATGCCAGCTGCTTGCTGAAGTCCCCGGTGTAAGGGGTCATAAGCTGGAGTTGCTCTTGTTCTGGTAATGACCAAACTGGGCGGCCATGGGGCTCCACTGCTGCTTTGTTAGAGGACCGAGAAGTGGAGTCAGAGCCCGTTGACAAGTGTGGCCGGGGGCAGGACGCTGGACGCCCCTGCTCTTCCCAGCCTGCCCTCTCCTCTCCCTGCACCCTCACGTGCTGTGGGAAGCGCGGTGGCACGGACACAGACGTACTGATAATCAGAACGGGGGTACTGCTCCAAGGACAGTGGGGAGACTGCTTCGACGGGGTAAGGTATGAGATGGCACGAAAAGATAGACGGAGCTGAGAAAGCCGAGGGCCAGCTGGGGCAGCCCACAGTGACCCCAGGCCTCACGGGAGACAGCAGTGACGCCCGGCCCTCCCGCCCCCAGCTCCCCTGGGGAAGCTCCTTTAGTCCCCACACGGGAAAGCAGGAAATGGGGACTCAGAAGGCAGGCCTTGTCCTTGATCACACAGCTAAAAAGAGCTCAAAGTGAAAAACGGGTCTCCTGACTCCCGGGCCAGCTGCTCAGTGATCTCTCCTGGCACTGACAAAGTCACGCTGTGAGAACAAGGTGGCAGCCGCGAGCCCCGGGACCCGCCAGGTGAGGCTGCGGAGGACAGAAGGTGTTGGCCCTGCCTGTCAGGCGGTGTGCTGTCCCACCAGGGGCAGGCTAGACGCCTGTCCCCGAGTCCCCGGATGGCACCCACAGGGCCCCCGGGCCCAGCCGGGAGGGCGTAGAGAGCAGTTGCTGCTGAGTTGTCAGACCCGAGATGGGACTGCTGAGCCCCTGGTCGGAGTCCGGAGGGACTCACCTCAGGAGACCCCCTGCGGGCTCCCTTGTCTTTCTTTCTTACTTTTTTTAAGTTGTTTTTTTTTTTTTTTTTTTTTTTTTTTTTCCTTTGGGATT